GCCCAAAGCCATTGCTGCTCCTCCCGAAGAGAATTTCGATGTGTTTAGAGAAAGCTTATTGCATTTCGGGACGCTAATGGCACTTGGTCACAGTGTTGATATAAGTACAGCAACATATAGAATGACCTGAACACAAGCCACTAGGAACTAGCACACGTGCACGCACTCGCACGAACACACACACACACACACACACACACACACACACACACACACACACACACACACACACACACACACCCACACACACACACACACACACACACACACACAAGTACAATATAATTAAAAACTAGCAGATAATGAAGTCAATGAACGTATAGGGAACGTTGATGTTTTAAATATACTGATATAATTGTTATATATATGCGAGAAAAGTAAAGAAGGACGACTTGACAACTTGCCGCAGCAAGGGCCCAACGTGGGCCATTCGAGTACAGAATGTATAGAGTGAACTCTCATTTGTGCTGAGGTAAATTTAACGAATATTCTAAAACAACGAACTCTTAAACGAAATCCCCGGAGGATTTCCAGTACATTCCGCGCAAAAGTGTTTCCTCGAAACGAATTTTTCGAAGAATGCTATTTCTACCGATCGAACTTTATTTGAGGACCCAGGCTCATTTTCGAGATCGATGCAATGACGTTTCGCGCCCTGCATCGCTGACGTAGGCGTTGCGTGCCACCGCCGAATTCCCCATTCGTCAGCGGCGGTGAAACATCCCTTGTGCGTATACAGCGCCGCCGACGGAAGGCGACTGTGCGGGATACGAAAACGAGTTACGCGCGCGTGAGTGCCTGCGCAGAACCATCAGCTCGGAAATCATTTCAAGCGTTCGTCCGAACCGACAGAACAAGAATGCGACGGAGAGTTGTATACTGACCGGCCAGTTCAATTACAGCCGAGGCTATACAGTATATATTAGAATGTTCAAGGCTTCGTATCGCAGCAGGCACCTGTCCAGAGGCAGTCCACAGAACCGTAGACCTTTCATTTCGGACAGCTTGTCTTTTATTTCGCTCTAAGGTCTCCGATAAAAACGAATATTGCAGAACTCGTTTCGAAGTAAATTGCATTTCACACTGTTTCCACGATATTTACAGTGCACAACGCTCTTTTGAATTCTATAGTGGGTATTCAGATTAGTGACATTCCACTTAAGTGGACTATTTCTTAGGGTCCCTTTAGGTTGAGTCAAATGAGAGTTCACTGTAATGTGTTTAGACCCAATGCTTGACAATTAACAAAAAAAAAAAACGATGCACTGCACTATATAGCATTAGGTTTACGAAATTATACCACTACACTTTAGCCATCGACCCAAGTAGTCGTACTTTAACACCCCGTTAACCAATTATATGGTCCGCATCCTCCTCAGTGTTCCCCCGAGGGAAGCTGCGGGCAATTTTTTTTATTAAAGTAACCATCTGATGAGTGAAGGAAAGAACGAAAGTGATTAACGGTCATCTGAAAGACGCGTTTCAGTAAGAGAGCGTAACAATGAACTGTTACTGATGTGGTCTTGACTTAAACCGTTAAAAAGCAAAATCACTACCTCGGTGTATACACGGAACACGGATTAACACCTAAACGCAAGAAAAAAAAAACCGACAACACTGAAACATACAAAAGGCTGGTAACCGGAATCGTTCCATTGTCTTAACACATTGTCGAAGCTTCATCGATGTCATACTAAGAAGCCCAACGTGCTACGTTGCTGAACAGTGTATATTTACCACCACAGAGGAGAGGTCGGTCATCGTGTCTTAATGCAAACGTTCTAAAAGTTGGACGGAGTATGTTTCAAGGCTGTTAACGAGCGTTTGATGAAGAAGTGCTTCTGCGAGTGTTTCCCCGAGTTGCTTAAACATGCATGCTCTTGAGGTAACCATCCATTGGGGTCCGACGAACTGCCAGAAGACATAGCAGGGACATCCCTTAGGCTTACGTATGTATTACGCTAGAAGAAACTTGTACGCGTAGCCAATCTGAACGCTTATTACCCCTATCATTTGACAGATTTAGCTGCTCGTGTTTCGTAAAGATGCATCCTCTTAGACAAATCTGTCTAATGATATGGGTAATAAGCGTTTAGATTGGCTACGCGTATAAGTTTCTTCTATAGCGTAATACATACGTAAGCCTAAGGGATGTACCTGCTATGTCTTCTGGCAGTTCGTCGGACCCCAATGGATGGTTACCTCAAGAGCAAGCATGTTTACGAAACTCGGGAAACACTCGTAGGAGCGCGTCCACAACAGCCGTATACGGACGATCCGCAATGGAAGGCTGCGTCCATACGGCAGCCGTGGACGCTAAACTAAATCTATCTATTACATTCGGTCTCTTGACCATTACGCGGATGCGATTGCAAGGCGTTTATAGTCCCAAGGACGTGCGTCTTATTCACGCGAAGACGACTTATCAAAGTTAAGAACCATCGTTTGCGGACGCACCCGTGCGTCCGCTTACAAAGAGAAGCCAGCCGAAGCGGGGAAACCACCGCGCAAATGAGCGAACAACAACGAAAAAGTCAGGAATCGAAATGCGCTCATAGAAGAGAAGGGTTTTCTAATCTTCACTCAAAGTTCTTTGACGGATCTATCTTTCATCTTAATCTTTATCAGCGTCACGCCAAGCATAGTTAAAGTCCCGGAGCGTGTTTTCCGGTTTGCCTCGTGGAAGTGAGTTGTCAGGGAGGGACGCGCACCGATGACCACGATGTGACACGATGGCGTATCACTCAGTAGCGAGCAGCCACTGAAAGCGGGCCCAGCCAAGTTAGTTGATTGCTTAAAATTTTTATGCCGGAATAAATCGCAATCTTCTAAAGGCGATAAACAAAATTTTCGAACGAGGTTTCGGTAAGATGGTGTCACACGCCTATAATACATCGCACAGATGGGTATAAGCATAAAAGCTGAAACTTGTGTCCCCGGTGTTCATATATCGCTGAACCTATCGAAGTGTCCTCACCAAATTGATATCGGTTTGAAAGCTTTTGATATCCATATCACCCCGTTTAACGTAAGCGCGATTTTCCAACATTTGTGATTGGTGACGTTAGCTTGAAGCATATTGGAAACACCTGAAGGATTCCATGAGTAGCGAGTCGCGCTGCGGCTGGTGGTATCATTCCTGGCCAACAAAAACTCCTAAAAAAAAACTTTCAAGCGCGTGGATACCCTTTGAGATAACGTCTGATATCATTATTGATTTTTCCTCATAGCTTTTGCGCACCGACCTCTTTTCTCCCCTTCATCCTTTCCTCAGTGCAGGGTAGCGAACCGGATGTGCGTCTGGTTATAACCTCCCTGCCTTTCCTTGCATCTTTATCTCTCTCTCTCTTTCTCTCTGGGCGTATAAATACAGGCTCTATACCCCCAGAACAGCACCGAATGTCCCATTCACATTCGCGGGAGGGTCGTATTAGGAGGTTTTCGTTTTAAACGTAACTTTTTCCCCCCCTTGTAAACCCAACTCGGCATTAGTAACTGTAGGTCAGTCGTTCGTTGAAATTTTCCGGGAAGTTCGCGTTTTCCGACCCAAAACCAGATGACGTGAACACGCGTATGTCGCGAAACATCCTACTTGGAAGTCACGCAATAGGTGCGTGACGTCTTAGAAACGAGCCAGTGCGGTTGGACGGCGCACGTTCAATGGGCGGGACGGCGACGGTTGTAGGCGGAGCTTACATTTATTGCTGGGTTTCCTATTGAAACGATCCGTATGCGAAGTCCGATAATTCCGTATGTTTCCGTAAGAATCTTACGGAAATACATGGAAAATATATAGGAAACATATGTATTCTTACGGAAACATACAGAATTATTAGACATCGCATACGGATCGTTTCAATTAATATTAATTGTAGCCGCAGCTACCGGCATACAACTTCGCTGTAATAGCCGAGTCCTCGCGCTGAAAGGTCACAACGATTGCAAGCACGCAATAACTGTTTCGCGCATTCATTCTTCCCGAGGACAGTCAGAGATTGGAACAACCGAACCAGTGACGTTGTTTTACACGACGATAGTTATAGCGCGAGAACAGAACGACGACAAAGGGATAAGAAGGAGACGAACGCCAACTTCCAACTGAGTTTATTGTGCAGAGCGCGGAAACATACCGAGGAGACAGTAAACCATGCCACGTAGCTTCGCGCTATAACTATCGTCACGTCATACCAACTAGCCAAAACCGCCACACTTCTAAGTTGTTTTACAGCCATCACTTCAAATATTTGCTTCATGTCTAAATGCTCAATTTTTTTTTTGGGGGGGGGGGGGGAATTGTGTAGAATTAATGCCGATGTTTTTTCAATACCTTCCCATGTGAGGTTGGTTTCTGGAGTATTTATTGCTTTGTATATCTTCAGTTGTATTTTGTTGATTGATTGATTGATCTGCGGGGTTTAACGTCCCAAAACCACCATATGATTACGATAGAAGCCGTAGTGAAGGGATTCGGAAATTTCGACCACCTGTGCTTCTTTAACGTGCACCAAAATCCGAGCACACAAGCCTACAGCATTTTCGCCTCCATCGAAAATGCAGCCGCCACAGCCGGGATTGAACTCCGCGACCTGTGGGTCAGCAGCCGAGTACCTTAGCCACTAAAACACTGCGGCGGAGCTTGTATTTTGTTTCCATGATTGATCATGTTCCCTCCAATATTCTATCAGAATCTGTTTTTTTTTTACTTTCAATTCCGAGAAATGTATTTTGCTTCCATTTTTTTTGTTCACGTTTACCTTCCGATACTCATGATCCTAGCTCCCACCCCGCTATAACCCCCTACATGGGATTGTAGTATTTACAAATAAATACGATAAAATAAAAAATAAACTTTAGGAGCAAGTCGAATTATTTCGTGGCTGATTTGTGCAAGCGAAATGCGCGACATTTCTTTTTCCACGTGTCAGGTGCGTGACAAAGCATGGCAAAGGATTCCGGAGAAGGCCAACCAGTCGCTCGCACGTTGGCACTAGACTTCCTGGATGGCGTGCTCGTACCACCGACGTCTATACGCCGGGACGTGCTCGGAGGCGCCCTGTTGTACGAGGCGCCCCGGCGACATCATTTTGGCGACGTATCCGAAGAGCGGAACGACCTGGACCCAGTACACCCTGCGGTTCCTACTGAACCTGGACAACGGCAAGTTGCCGGACGTGCCAACGTTCGCCGACCTCTTGACCAGGTGTTGCCCCTTCCTAGAACTGGTAAGCCTTGCCTCGATATGAAAGAACTCTTCGAGGAAACTTTATGATTGTAGACGATTATATATATATACGTCTACAACCATAAAGTGTCTCGCAGTCATACCTTGAGGGAAATCCGGTGCCACCGCCCGGGCGAATTTCCTAAAGGGCGGTGTGCCCGTCGAGGGAAAGCCGGGATATGTGTAAGCGAGGCTTGTCCACCTGTGCAAGCAAGGCTTCTCTAAGACAAAACTTTTATAAACATATCTTATGTTAACACGCATTATATTCTAGAATGAAAGCCCAGTTACCTGCGCAGAACATAATAAACTGAGAAAAAAAGGAAACAAAAGACATTTCAAAAAACAGAAGAACGATGCTATGTGAAAGTCTGTGGTTACGACCTAAGCAAAAAAAAAAAAACTCCCAAGCATTTCCTCGAGGGTGAACATGGTTAAGTGCGAATACACGGGGTGATGCTATGAGGGGTATTTATTAATTCGCACTATTATACTTATTAATCACACTATGGTGCCTTTATGGTGTAATGGTTCCTGGGAATCGCAATTTGATCACACGGGGGAGTTTACGTTAACTCACTGGCGAATGCCAACGGATTTTAACTTTACTCCCCCTCACGACCCGCTCTCGACGGGAGACTGAGAGAGAAGGCGGGCGCGCGAGAGAGAGGGGTGCGCGCGCAGCTGCAGCGAGCGAGGAGAGCGGAGGAGCGACACCGATATCAGCGTCGCGTCCGTGGCTTATTCGGTAGAGCGTCGCGCTGCGGCCCGCCAAGTCCTCTTTCTTTTAAAGATAGAGAGAAGACTGCGGACGCCGCCGACGGCGGTGGATGGTTTGGGGTCGCTTATAAAGTGTATTCACACTTAAAAAACACAAAAAACTACGCAGGTCTCGACCTTACTGCCCCGTCGTGGGAGCGGCTCTCGCTTGTGTTAGGGCGCACGCCTTCGGACTTAAAAAATAAAGCTTTTTTTTTCCAAACCGAACCAAGTCTCCACGAAGTGAGTTATGGCGAGTTTGTGAATAATTGGGGATCGTTCTTATACCGTAAATCACCCGTGACATTGCCCACTCGTACACGTAAATCAGTGACAACACGTGTGTAGAGCGTATATACAATGTTTTTTGCCGTTGAGCTACCGCTTTCCACGTCCTCAACTCCGCAGTAGAAGCTTGTTGGCGGCGCTGCGGTTTTCGCTGCTTCTTGTCAGCGTATACATGCTGAGCCACTGCATGCCGCGCTTTCGTCTCCGGAGTAGCACCTTGTTGTCGACGTTGCCGCGTTGGATTTCGCGGGCGAGGTCGCTTTCACGTTCTTTTTAAGAGTGAATACACTTTATAAGCGACCCCAAACCATCCACCGCCGTCGGCGGCGTCCGCAGTCTTCTCTATATCTTTAAAAGAAAGAGGACTTGGCGGGCCGCAGCGCGACGCTCTACCGAATAAGCCACGGACGCGACGCTGATATCGGTGTCAGTAACGCGCCTTATACCCCCTCTCCTTCGCTCGCTCCTCCGCTCTCCTCGCTCGCTGCAGCTGCGCGCGCACCCCTCTCTCTCGCACGCCCACCTTCTCTCTCAGTCTCCCGTCGAGAGCGGGTCGTGAGGGGGAGTAAAGTTGAAATCCGTTGGCATTCGCCAGTGAGTTAACGTAAACTCCCCCGTGTGATCAAATTGCGATTCCCAGGAACCATTACACCATAAAGGCACCATAGTGTGATTAATAAATGTAATAGTGCGAATTAATAAATACCCCTCATAGCATCACCCCGTGTATTCGCACTTAACCGTGTTCACCCTCGGGGAAATGCTTGGGAGTTTTTTATCCATGGCGGAACAGAACGTCTGGTCTGTAAGGCACTTATTCTTCATCTTCACCAGCGTCATTGTCATGACGTAGAGTTGGTACCTTGCACGCACTGTGCCGTGATGGCAGCGTCATCGTCATCGGGTACCCTGCACGTGCTAACTCGCACAGTCTTCATCGTCATGGCACATAGTGGGCATACCTTGCCCTTTCTGTGCCGGACAACGCACAACAGACAAGCCTATATAGACCCTATAAGGTGCTCCGCCCCTGGAAATGCCGGCTTCGCCCAAAGCCATTGCTGTTCCTCCCGAAAAAGAATTTCGATGTGTTTAGAGAAAGCTTATTGCATTTCAGGACGCTACAGGTGCACTTGGTCACAGTGTTGATATAAGGACAGCAACATATAGAAGGACCTGAACACAAGCCACTAGGAACTAGCACACGTGCACGCACTCGCACGAACGCACTCGCACGAACACACACACACACACACACACACACACACACACACACACACACACACACACACACACACACATGCGCGCGCGCACACACAAGTACAATATAATTAAATACTAGCAGATAATGAAGTCAATGAAGGTATAGGGAACGTTGATGTTTTAAATATACTGATATAATTGTTATACATATGCGAGGAAAGTGAAGAAGGACGACTTGACAACGTGCCGCACCAAGGGCCCAACGTGGGCCATTCGAGTATAGAATATATAGAGTGAACTCTCATTTGTGCTAACGTCAATTTAACGAATATTCTAAAATAACGAACTCTCAAGCGAAATCCCCGGAGGATTTCCTGTACATTCCGCACAAAAGTGTTTCCCCAAAACGAATTTTCGAAGAATGCTATTTCTACCGATTGAACTTTATTTGAGGACCCAGGCTCATTTTCGAGATCGATGCGATGACGTTTTGCGCTCTGCATCGCTGACGTAGGCGTTGCGTGCCACCGCCAAATTTCCCATTCGTCAGCGGCGGTGAAACATCCCTTGTGCGTATACAGCGCCGCCGACGGAAGGCGACTGTGCGGGATACGAAAACGAGTTACGCGCGCGTGAGTGCCTGCGCAGAACCATCAGACTCGGAAATCATTTCAAGCGTTCGTCCGGAACCGACAGAACAAGAATGCGACGGAAGAAGTTGTATACTGACCGGGCCAGGTTCAATTTACAGCCGAGGCTATACAGGATATATTAGAATGTGTCAAGGCTTCGTATCGCAGCAGCAACCTGTGCCAGAGGCAGTCCACAGAACCGTAGACTTTCATTTCGGACAGCTTTGTCTTTTATTTCGCTCTAAGGTCTCCGATAAAAACGAATATTGCAGAACTCGTTTCGAAGTAAATTGCATTTCACACTGTTTCCACGATATTTACAGTGCACAACGCTCTTTTGAATTCTATAGTGGGTATTCAGATTAGTGACATTCCACTTAAGTGGACTATTTCTTAGGGTCCCTTTAGGTTGAGTCAAATGAGAGTTCACTGTAATGTGTTTAGACCCAATGCTTGACAATTAACAAAAAAAAAAAAACGATGCACTGCACTATATAGCATTAGGTTTACGAAATTATACCACTACACTTCCTGATTTTCATGTTGCTAACACCGAGTTCAATATATTAAACCTCCCCATGCCGACACAAGTTTGTGTTAGTGATTCTGAACCGCAAACGTGAACGACATGGTAATTTTCATCAGTTATTTTTACATTTCTACTCAGATAGCTATAAGTAACATTTTAAGGAGTAACGATGAACCTTTAACTCTTGATATGTGCTCCACTTAAACTATAGATGAGAAAAAGTGCTTACGGCTGAAGTTGAAGTTTATTTTTAAGCAAAACGCACAAAAAGAAAGTAAAATTTGGCTAGAGGACCGACGAGAAGGCACAAAATCTGAACGAGGAACATGCCCCACTTCCTTGGCCTGCCCCCTATAGTAAACTCATAACGCCAGCAAAATGACACAATGCATGGACAGAGTAAAATTAAAAGTCAATGAATAAATAAGCGCAAATGAGTTGCTACATGCAAGTAATATTTGTATATAAGAAAACAGACTGATGAGCAAATTGACCCAAGCACTGAAGCAAATGGAACAAAGCTTAGAGTACATGAACAAACGTGCTTGTTATTTGCATGATGAAAGTGAGATTTGAATGCTTAAGGTTTAGGAGAAATCAAAAGAAGCAAATACTTCAGAGAATACAAAACTATGAATATGATGAATATGGTGGTGGTTCGAGCGGAGCCAGACAGCACCAGTATCTTTTGGCTTTCAAATGCAATAGTGCATGACACTAGACAGTTCTAGCACACTTTAATAATAGGCAGGGGCGCCGTGGTTTCATGGGCGGAGCTGAAATTGCTTCTCAGATCGTAACCGAGCGTAGTAATAGCCATAGGCACGCGCAGGAGCAACGAGGGGAGGGGTGGCACCCTTAATAATCAAAGGCACCAAGGCTGCATGCCCTACACACTCCTTTCAAAGAGCCCTGACTGGCCACGCGGACGACTGTCTTAAAAGAGGCACGCCAACTCTTTTTTTTGGGGGGGAGTCATTGTCTCTTCGGAGTCTTGTGACTCAGAAAAGAGTCGATATGCCTCTTCAAAGAGAGCCATACAAGTGGCAAGCCAGGACTCTCCGAAAGTATTCACGCGTACTCTTTTACTTTTCTTAGAGTGTTCACCATTACTACTGTCCCTTCATCGCTTAAAGAGCAAGATTGCAGTCATGCAAGTCTTTTAGCGATTATAAAAGCTGCAGACCCCCTGAGATTCTTTTCAGAGAACGGTTGGCTTCCTTCCTTTACACCCATGAAGCCGGGGACCACAGGCAAGCGGCTGTGACAAGGACGTCATTCGCCCATTTTCATATTTGTATCAGCTGTGCAGCTGCTTTTCTTTTCGGGGAGGGGGACATGAACAACCAGGGAAGCAGTGCAGTGGTGAAACTTGCCCTCTATATGCCCCATCAGCTCACGGGCAAGCCAATAATTCCTTATTGCGATAGCACTTTTATGGACGCTCTCGGCGGTTTTTTACCGTTTGCACCACCGTCGGCTTGCCGTTCTATATATGTGCATATATAAAACGCACAGATAAAAAAAAGTGCCATCATATCCACGAAGTGAACGATGATTTGTGGGCGAAGCTCCGCAGGTAAACCTGGTAAACCATGAATCCTCCGTACATTTTGCCTACTAGATTTTATGACAACTCTCTCCCTAGCGTACGTCGCCGCACTAAATCGAACGATTGCCTTCCACCAATGACACGCAGCATATGTGACATCATTCCTATTTTATAACATGCATCTCGCATTTTTCATCATCAACTACAAGTACCGCCGTCTAGTTTATAACATCTTGCATCTTTTCATCATCAGCTACAAGTACCGCCATCTAGTGAACACTGCAAGAACTAAACGAGAGGTGGCTAAATACAGGGGACGCACGGCTTCGCCCCTAATAGTTCACAACATACTTCCGAAGTGCGCAACCGGGAATTCTAAAGTATGGTGGCTAGAAGGGGGAAGTTTGACGGGCGCCGTATTCGCCCCGTGAGAGAGGAGGGCGCAAAATGCGATGAAAAAATTTTTGCACCGCTAGGGGCGCTGCAGTGGACTGAGGTGCCGGCGCTCGCCTCCCCGAACACTGCGTGCGCCATCTCCGTGTTCTGTGGTGCGCTTGCTTCGTTTTGATCCGTCAGTCACCCAGTTCGCCGAATGAGATTGTCGCTGGAGGATGTAGCCACGCAATGCCGTCGTCCAGGTCAAGTACGTGCTTTGTACCCGGCTGCAAAACCGGGTATAGGTCGTGCGTGGACAAGGTGTCGGTGTTTAGAGCTCCGAAGGACGCCTCAAGAAGGGAGCAACGGGCCCGAAATATCAAACGGGATGACAAGGAGCTGACGCACGACTGTGTGGTTTGCGGGCGTCATTTTGAAGAAAGATTTGTCGAGAAGACATACCGCCACATCATCAACGGTGAAGTGGTTGAAACGCCGCGGGATCGGGCGCAGTTGAGAGCGGACGCAGTCCCGACAGTATTCCCCGACGCGCCGAAGTACTTCACTACGAAAGCGCCTATTAAGAGGAAAGAAAGAAATTTGTGTGAGCAGCGTGGCCGTCCTACAAAAAAAGCAAAAGGTGCACGATGGTTCCACGGAAGGCGAACTGCCACAAGACGCCGCAGCCGACGCACAGCCGCCACAGGAGCAGCGAGCTGTCGGCCATCCTGAAGCGGAGGTACTGAACGCCGTGACAGCAGAAGATGTTTGCGGGAATCTCCTCCTGCCTAGTCCATCCTGGAATAAGCTGACATTTGCTACTGAACAAGATGCGGTTCACTTTGGCCTATGCGAGCTTGAGGGTGAACAGGCCGACCACATGCTGTTGCCCAAGTTGGTGAAATTCAAACTAGCTGTCAATCAACCAGAATCGTTGTGCTGCTGTGTGTACTTGAGGGGCCACCTCTACTCACAGCCTTGAATGATGCATTCGCGCAAATGCCCTTAAAATAACTAAGTGAAATGTTCCAGATCTGCTTTTCCGAAAGCAGCCGCGAGGACCCCTTGAATATTGCGTGCTTCTTATTCTTTCGTTCCCCTATGAACTGTGACTTCCATGAGCCATGCGTTGCAAAATGGAAAGGAAATAAATCCGCAGACAAGTTCGTCTGTTGGCGAAGCGCGCGCGGGGTACATGTGTACATAATGAGGAAGCGGTGCGGCATTACAAAGCGTACTCCCCTCCCCCCCTTTTGTAAATATGCAAAAGAACTGACAGCTGCCCGTAGGCAGGTGAGAGGTGAGTTTAGCATCTTAAAAATACAAGGCTGCGAAACAAGGGAAAAGCAACGTCGAACACTTCTCGCACGTTTTCTCCGCTGTCTTCTTTCACGCCTTACCGACATTACTGCATGCATTGTAGTGTAATAGAAAAAAAAGGGCGCATCAGTACTGCATATAAGCGCATTACGCGGGCGAGTTCAGCCGTTCAAACAATCTGCCGCTCCACAACTTAGCGCGGTTTCGGAGAGCGACGGGGCGAACCCACGGAGCGACGGCACCTCAGAGAGAGGCAGCGCCACCTAGAACGCCCGGCGTTTTTCATCGCTATTTTGTGCGCTCCTCAGCTCCCGTCTGTCACACTTCCCCTTCTAGCCACCATATCTAAGGTATACGACCCTTCGCTCCGTAATGCAACGCGTAAAGTTACTCAGCCGTTTAGGTAAACGCAATCTGTAGACCACTAACGGTAAGTTATTTACACACATAATTTACTTCTGGTGGTGCGCCGATCACTGCGATGCTTCACTGTGGCCGAGGTTTGTTCGCTATTACCCAGGAGATGGCGCAAGGGGCCAAAGTGCGCGCTTTAAAAGGCGTCACCCCCGCTCGTATGTCATCACTCGTGTCTTGTGTATTCGTGTTTCCTGCGCTACACCATTTCTGACACCACTAGTTTTTCGCCCTTAGGATGTGCGCCTCCGGTCCAGTACACTTGCCTGCACGGCATCGTCGCCCATGCTCATGTGGAGAACCAACAGATGGCTCGTGGTTTAGCGTGTGTTGTCCTTTAATCGCAGGAAGGAAGGAAGGAATTAAGGAATGATGGAGGGAAGGAGAGAAAGAAGGAAGTAAGGAACGAGGGAGGGAAGGAAGGAAGGAAGGAGGGAAGGAAGGAAGGAAGGAAGGAATGCAGGAAGGAACGAAGGAAGCAAGATAGGAAGGAAGGAAGGAGGGAAGGAATGCAGGAAGGAACGAAGGAAGCAAGATAGGAAGGAAGGAAGGAAGGAGGGAAAGAAAAAAACAAGGAAGGAAGGGAGGGAGGAAGGACGGAAGGAAGGAAGGAAAGAAGGAGGGAAGGCAGGAAGGAAACAAGGACGGAAGGAAGGAAGGAAGGAAGAAAGAAAGGAAGGAAGAAAGAAAGGAAGGAAGAAAGAAAGGAAGAAAGAAAGGAAGGAAGGGGGAAGGAACGCAGGAAACAAGGACGGAAGGAATGAAGGAAGTAAGAGAGGAAGGAAGAAAGGAAGGAAGAAAGGAAGGAAGTAAGGAATGAAGGAAGGAAGGAGGGAAGGAACGCAGGAAGGACGGAAGGAAGGAAGGAAGGAAGGAAGGAAGGAAAGAAAGAAGGAAGGAACGAAGGAAGGAACGAAGGAAGCAACGAAGGAAGGACGGAAGGAAGGGACAAAAAGAAAATAGGCAAGGAGGTTAACTAGAAAGACGTTTAGTTGGTTACCCAATTGATACATAAGTCATAGGTTGTACGAAGGTAATTTAACTCACTACACAAGCCAAGTTTTGCTAAAGGTGTGATTTGCTAGCCCGGTTCTTCATAGGAACGTGGCAAATTGTTCTATTGTAATCGTTTGTAAATCGTGCTCCACTCGACTGTTTTTTTCTTTCGCAGGTCGGTCGAAAGGTTGTCGAAGCCACCCCAGCCCCCCGTGTGATCAAGACTCACTTTAGTTCCACGATGACGCCATACCATCCAAAAGCCAAGTACGTCATCATCGTACGCAACCCTTTCGACTGCGTCGTCTCCTTCTACCACCACTGCATGGGAGACCGGATCAACCTGAGGATGCGCGCGGACACGAAGTTCGACGAGTTCTCTGAAGACTTCATGGACGGCTACGTCCCGTTCGGCCACTAATTCGAGCACGTCCTCTCCTGGTACGCCCGCCGGAACGACCCTAACGTCTTCTTCTTCTACTCAGAACTTCAAGAGCGACCCTAAGAAAACGGTGCTCGCGCTGGCCAAGTTCGTCGACGCGTCCGTCTGGCAGAAGTTGCGCGCCAATAAGGCACTCTTGAAAGTTTTGCTGGAACGCATCTCTTTTGCCAACCTCAAGTCGGACGTCAAGATGGATGTTGACATCCATCATACGTTGGTCGATCGCAACCATCACGAGGAAAAAAGCGATGCAAAAGAAATTGACGAGAAAAGAACCGGCAAGAGTCTACCACACAAAAGTTTCGATGACGCAGACGACCCTGCCAGAAACACGGAGACGCCCGAGGAAGAAGCAATGGTGGCCTTTGCCAACTTTTTCCGCAAGGGTGAAGTAGGAGACTGGAAACGCTACCTGAATCCGGAACAAGAGAAGCGCCTTCGGGCGGTGTACGAAAAGCGCAAGCGCGGGACAGAAATGTGGGACGCTTGGAAGGATTACCTGGGTTACAAAGATGCCAGCGCTCGTGCAAATAAAGGATCTTAACAGAACTTTGAGTTACATTTTATCGCCTTAGAATACTACATTCACATGCCAAGCGCACTTATTAACAATGAGGGACGTTCTGCATGTGCCATATTGTTCAATGAAACGTTACTTGAAGGTTCTCGATTGATATGTGGGGTTTAACGTCCCAAAACCACCATATGATTATGAGAGATGCCGTAGTGGAGGGCTCCGGAAATTTCGACCACCTGGGGTTCTATAACGTGCACCCAAATCTGAGCACTCGGGCCTACAACATTTCCGCCTCCATCGGAAATGCAGCCGCCGCAGCCGGGATACGAACCCGCGACCTGCGGGTCAGCAGCCGAGTACCTTAGCCACTAACCACCACGGCGGGGCACTTGATGGTCCTCATGCAGCCAAACGAATAATGACTGACAACATCTTCAAATAGTCCCGCGGTGGTCGTCTAGTGGCTAAGGTACTTGGCTGCTGACTCGCAGGTCGCGGGATCGAATCCCGGCTGCGACGGCTGCATTTCCGATGGAGGCGGAAATGTTGTAGGCCCGTGTGCTCAGATTTGGGTGCAGGTTAAAGAACCCCAGGTGGTCGAAATTTCCGGAGCCCTCCACTACGACATCTCTCATAATCATATGGTGATTTTGGGACGTTAAACCCTACGTATCAATCAATCAACCTCCCCCAGTCTCGGTGTAGGAAAGGGTGCTGTGCTCACTTATCGTAACCACAGCACCCTCGCCGCATAGTCAACCTCCTCCCTTATCACACTCTCTTTCGCTGCGCCGCTCTATGCGTGTCGCGTGGTTGATATCGCACGATTACTCGATTTTTCCAGGTTTGTAAACCGTCGCTCACGTGGTTTGAAGAATTTACCAGCAGCCCGCCACGGTCCTCAGTCGAGCGAGCCATCTATCGGCACGCCGCAAACGAGAGCATAATCGGTCCCTCCCCGCCAAGCGCTCGCTTCGCGTCGTTCACTCACCTTAAGTATTCTTGCACCATTACTTAAACTAAAAAAAAAACAGATTTATCCGAGTATAGTTGTGTCAGCGGTCGCTGCATTCACGCAAAAGATTGTTGAAGTTCGTAACGGTCACCGGTGTACGCATTCGTGACTCTATTTGGAAACAAAAAAGGGGGCACTCAACCGTAGCGCGGCAGCCATACTGCAACGGAGTAACAAACAAACAACTACAAAAAATGCGTGAAAGGAAACGCGATTGTAGAAGTGTTTTTCTTAGCCCAGAGTTCCAGCACAGCTCTTTTCCCCCTTGTAATACTTATCAGCTTCACGTGGAGCGTTCTAAGGTAATGCTTGAAAAGCTTTCGAGCATGTATTGAAGTTAACAACGAGGCAGTGAGTCGTCAGGACGACGCAGAGATAAATAGAGACGCTCCAATGACCCTGAATGGCACCGTATAAAATGACGCGTGCCGCTGAGTTCACTGCATCTCAGTCGGTTTAGACCGTGTAAGCACAGAGTGCTCGCTCTTCGCCACTGAAGGCTGGGTCGGATGGAAACTTCAAAATCGAGATCGGAACCCGGGACGAGGTTTTTCGTGAATGTAGCATGACCATTTCCTTATGTTCGAGCTTTCACGGGTCAGTTCGGTGATTTCATTTATGTTTGTGGCGACAATATCGTTTCCCTGTGAGTTGTAGCTGGCAGTAGCTAGCGTATGCAAACATTCGTTCATTGTGGTTTCTGCGCACTGACAGACCAGCAAATTTTGCCTCCTCCTCCCCATATTCAGCGTCACCATATTACAGCCCGCCGTACTCAAGTCGAAGTTTCGGGTGAGTCGAGCGATTCCGTGCCTGTCTGAGCCAGCAATAACATAAGACCTTTTCCTCGTCAGGTATACAAACGAGCATGGCGAAGGATTCCGGAGAAGGCGAACCGGTAGCTCGCACCTTGGTCTTAGACCTCATCGAAGGAGTCCTCGTGCCTCCGAGGTCATTCCGTAGGGACGTGCTCAGAGGCGCCCTGATGTACGAGGCGCGCCCCGACGACATCTTCCTGGCGACTTACCCGAAGACAGGAGCCACCTGGACCCAGTACACCCTATGGTTCCTACTGAACCTGGACAACGACAAGCAGTCGCTAATACCGACGTTCTCAGACATCATAACCAAGCATTCGCCATTCCTTGAACTGGTGAGCCTTTGATGGTCGATTTAAGGCAATCCTTGGGTGCCATAATGGGAGCGTGATTCCCGCCGATAAGAAACGTGTAATGACTTCATACAAACACGATTATGAGAGTTGCGTTAATGAATCTTGTGTCAATATGTGTTCAGAGGAGTTTCAGCTACGTAGACGAGTATGTCAGTCAAACGCCTGTGCATCTTGTACTGTGACTAAACGCATCTTCGCATATGCTAGCGATGAAGTCGCACGGTTCTTTACGCATTTGCCTAAGGCGACACCACAGCACAAACAATCTTTATTTATTTATATTTGGCAGAATATGGAAAGGTAGGCTAGAGCCGAATATCCCAACATCATGACAGTAATGTACTGGATAAAAACACAAATAAGAAAAATTAGGAATACAATAGAAAAAACTGATTTCATTATTTTTCTTTCAGTCTTTCGAGTGGCTCGTAATAACGTAATCTCGGTAGGTTTGATTGATTTATACGTGGGGTTTAACATCCCAAAACCACCATTTTATCATGAGAGATGTCGCAGCGGAGGTATCCGGAAATTTTGACCACCTGGGGATCTTTAAGATGCACCCAAATCCGAGCACACGAGCCTGCAGCATTTTCGCCTCCATTGAAAATGTAGCCGCCGCCGCCGGCATTCGGTCCCGCGCCCTGTGGGTCAGCAGCCGAGTACCTTAGCCACTTTATACCACCGCGGCGGGCCTAATCCTGGCAGGTAAATATTGGATTATTATTCAACACATATATCTCTTATCTACGCAGGTGGGTCGAAAAGTCGTCGAAGCCACCCCACCGCCTCGAGTCATCAAGCACCACCTCACCTTCACCATGTCACCATACCATCCCAAAGCGAAGTACGTCACCATCGTGCGTAACCCGTTCGACTGCGTCGTCTCCTTCTACCACCACTGCATGGGAGACCGGGTCAACCTGGGGATGCGTGAGGACACGACGTTCGACGAGTTCTTCGAAGACTTCATGGACGGCCACGTACTGTTCGGCCATTACTTCGAGCACGTCCTCTCCTGGTACGCCCACAGGAACGACCCGAACGTCTTCTTCTTCTACTACGAGCGCTTCAAGAGCGACCCCAAGAAGACGGTGCTCGCATTAGCCAAGTTCATCGACGAGTCCATCTGGCAGAAGTTACGCACGAACAAGGCGCTTCTGAGCGGCTTGTTAGAGCGCATCTCTTTCGTCAACCTCAAGTCGGGCGTCAAGATAGAAGGTGACGTCCACCATGCGCTGACCAATCACGATGATCACGATGGCAAAGGTGACGAAACAACAGATGAAAAGAAGGGGACCGGAAAAGCTTCAGATGGTAACGACCCTGCCAAATGTACAGAGACGCCAGAGAAAGAAGAGATGGTGGCCTTGGCCAACTTCTTCCGCAAGGGTCAGGTTGGTGACTGGAAAAGCTACCTGAAGCCCGAACAAGAGAAGCGTCTTCGAGAAGTGTACGAAAAGCGCATGCGCGGGACGGAGATGTGGGACGTATGGAAGGATTACTTGGGTTACAACGACTGAGAAATGGCCGCTGGCAGCGTTCTCTAGCCAGCATCCTAGTCGAGCACGGATGCAGAAAACTAAGCTAAGTACTGTACTTTTAGAACTCCGAAGTGTGAAGTTAGGCATCATAACGACGAGAAACCAATTTCCAGCGCTTAAGTACTCACCACGCGGATCGCGCACGGCCTTCTCAAAGACCACAATTTCCCAGTCGCATGTCTGAACGCTCAAGGCTTGAGTGTTCAGACATGCGACTCTGACCTATATATAGGTCAGAGAATCATATAGGTCAGATCTCTGACCTGTAGGTCACAGAATCATATAGGTCAGATCTATAGGTCAGATCACTGACCTATAGGTGAGAGAATCTCCGCCGGCCTCTTTGACTGACTGACTACACTTCTTTGCACGTGCGCTGCTCCTCTCTTTAGTCCCCATTCCCTTGTGCCCAGTGTCAGGTATAAAACCGGACAGTCGTCTTGTTAACCTCCCACACCTTTCCACTTCTTTCTTCCTGTCTCTGAGGCTTCGTCTTCCTGCGCTTAGGACCACCCTTTGATACATTCTACCACGGAAATATTGGTTTGCGATCGAAACAAAGCTCCATGAAGATGAAAAAAATTCGTCCTTGTCTGGAATTCAAACTTCGCACCAACGCCTTTCTAAAGGGGCCCTACGAACTGGGCTAACTTGACAAGCTCGGATCTCCAATATTAGGACTACGTATACTGCAGGGCAAGGTGCTATATCATTACAATTTTTCCTGTATGAACAAGAATAAAAGGTCAGAGGGTCAAAGGGAGCTCAAGACTTGTCCTGTGTCTTTTCACGTATCCACATTAGCGTACGCACGGCGGAGGGGGGGGGGGGTGCAGCAGCGGGAGCTATAGAAGCTTTAGTGAGAGCGGCCGTGGGTCTTAGTCCTCTGAGAGGGAGGAGGCGCAATATCTGCCCCACACTTTTACACGGTAACTTTCCCCCCTACTGTGAAGGGGCATCCTGCGCACGCTATGAGCATCCAGGTAAACAAAAAAAGAAGCATCACAGGATTTCTCACCGCATTCGCAGAAGAGCACAAAAGCAAAAGCAGCATTTTTTTATAGCTCAGTCGATTGTATTTCTTTGTTGTAATTCGGTTTCTTTGTTGTAAAACTCGGCCCAACGCAATCAAAAAGGTGTCCGAACTAACAGAAGCGCAGCCGAAAAAGAAAAATACGTAACTGAGAAAGAAACAAGTGAAGGGAGAAAGCGACATTTCTTAAGCAATGCATTGTACGAATCATTTCATGCGAAGCAGTCAGCGAGTAGCAGCCTATGCGGTAAATTTTGCTTTGATTTCAGCGTCACTAAAGGTGTAGCGACTATAGGTGTATGGACTACTGAGTACTTCTGCTGAAGCCTTAGGCTTGTCAGGCACGCCGACTCGTACTACGTCGTAGTGCGAGTGGTAACGTTACTTGCTTCGCAACGTCAATCAAAGACGTCACTTGCTTCGCAACGAGCTGCACGCTGCGGTGCAATAATTTATGTATTATAAGTAAGTTTTCTTCTGCATATTCGAGCAGCGTTTGACTACGCATTTTCTACGGATGACGATGTGTTTGACCATGTTCTTGGCATATCTGAGCAAAGTTTGCCTATGTATTTTTCATGTATGACTGCGCGTTTGACCATGTTCTCGGTCGATGCGAGCAAAGTTTGACTATGCATTTTGAATGCAGGAATATATGTATGACTATGCGCTTGACTACGTTCTCGGCATATTCGAGCAACACTTGACTATGCAGTGCTGAGTCGCAGGGGTACAATCGGCGTCGAATGAAACGCGAACAGCGGAGAGGCTGACCCAAGCATTATCAACGGTATACAGTGCGCGCCGTTTGGTCCTCACCACTGATTGGCACGCACATCTGGCTCGGTATATCTCGGTGCGATCGAAAGCACAATTGCGGTGAAGTAACGAGCGGAAAACCGCAGATAGCAAGCTTGATTGATTCGATTGATTGATTTGTGGGGTTGAACGTCCCAAAACCACCATATGATTATGAGAGACGCCGTATAGTGGGAGGGCTCCGGAAATTTCGACCAGCTGGGGTTTTTTTGAACGTGCACCCAAATCTGCAGGCCACACAGGCCTACAACATTTCCGCCTCCATTTGAAATGCGGCCGCCGCAGGCAGATAGCAAGCTACAGCACATGCTGTATGTGATAGTATTTAAGTAAGCGCCGATGGTACAGACGATTTTGGCGAACTGTTCTTCAGCACTCGCCGTTAACTGCTGTAGTTTAGCTTTCTCCTTTTTATTATTTTTTTTGCGACGATGCGGCATTATGAGAGGATCTCGCAGTGCAGCCGCAAACGGGATTTTCGCCTCTTTAAACACTTATGAACGGACGGCGTGCGCTATGTATAGCGTTTCCAATGCCGGGTCACGCTTTCCGCTGTTCGAGTTTCATTCGACGCCGATAGCACTTATAAGTAATGCTTATCACAGTGTTATGAAAACGGATAGCCAACACAGCAGGCACAATTAGAGTGGCCACGGGACACGACGCTTCTTTGGAGTCGTTTTCCAAAGCAATTTGAAACCATACCACGGCTCTGTGGTATACAGCCGTTGAATGACACGCAGAATGCCTAACTAAAGGCTTGAACCATGAATAAACCTTGCTTCCATGAGGATTTTTCACTAATCGATTACGCAGCCGCGATGTCTGTGCAGGTCTTTTGCGACATGCATGAACTGTTCAAAGTTGTCGATATAATGTTTTCAAAGTACATTCTGCATGTGCCTGGTGTAAACTGTCAACCACCAGTGGCGCATGTCCGTGGTGGCACGTGCCGCACGTTATATAGTGGTGCAGTGGTTTTCGCGACGTACGCGGCCAGATATTCGTGTTATCCAAGTCATGACCTGCTATACTCGTATCCATCACATACTCTATTGTCCTGCTCTGCTGCGTCAATTGTAGTAGTTACCAAGTTAAGGAGACGGACACGACAGTTCTCAGACGAATATAGTAGGCTAGGTAGACACAATGGATAGATGGAAATGGTCAAGGCGCTCTAGGCTCGCTAAAAAATAATAACAACGACCTGACTTGCGTTTAACTTCCCAAAACCGTAATATACGGTTATGGGGGAGGCTTGAAAATTCCGGAAATTCTGACCATGCCCTTAACATGCACTGACATTGCACAATACAGGAACATTCACCAATTCACCAGCATTGAAATTCTGCCGCCACGGCCGGAATCAAACATTCGACTTTCGGGTCGGCAGCAGAGCAACACAACTACACACGGTAGACTCGCTAAGAACTATACCTCACTTTAAAAAGCGACGAGTAGCCAAACGTCAAAGGAAACTTTACCTGTAATGTTCAGTATACAGTATTCTACGGATACAGCTCATACAGGACCATGATGGGGCCTCGCAATGTACAGTAATCACCGTTGCAGCTTTTTCAAGGGATTTTCGGATACCATATGTTGGTCGTCAGGGCCAGGAGAAGTAGTACTATACAATGCGTGCTTCCACCTATGCGTCTCGCGTAACACAGCTGTGGTAGAGAAAAAAATTGCCCGCAGCTTCCTTCGGGGGAACACTGAGGAGGATGCGGACCATATAATTGGTTAACGGGGTGTTAAAGTGCGACTTACTTGGGTCGATGGCTAAATTGGTTAACGTGGTTGTGAAATGGGGTGTTAAATTGCGACTTACTTGGGTCGATGGCTAAATTGGTTAACGTGGTTGTAGGAGGGGGTGTTAAATGAGTGAACACGTACACACGTATGCGAAAGGGCGGCGCTGGTCGAAGGGACGTCGATCATTGTGTTTGTGGATTCGTTGGAATTCATTTCACCGCGACCTTGGACGTCGACACGCCGTACAAACCAACCGACGAGCGGCAACTGAGCGAGCGAGCGCCGACCTTGAGTATATATACAGCACGACGGCGCATGCACTGTCAGCTGTTGAATGTTCTCGAAGCGCGACGCCACATGCGCGTCCACTGGAGAATCAGGAGAATTGTAGATGTCGAACGCGGTGTGTAGAGGAGGAAGGGTGCACAAATGGTGGAAGAGTGAAGCGCGCGCGGTGTGTAGAGGAGGAAGGGATGCACAGATGGTAAAAGAGTGGGCGACGGCGCGACGGCGCATGCGCGCGCGTCAGCTGTCGAATGTTCGAGAAGCGGTGCGGACGGCGCGGACGGCGCACTACAAGGCGCGAGTATAAGATGCTCCGCATCTAAAAAGCTAAGTGCCAATACAAAGGTATGGACGAGAAACCAAAGATGAAAAGAAAATCTCTTAGGTTCTGTTTACCTTTCTGGTTGCGCGGTGCGTTAACAACAGAAAAAAAACTTAAGGAACAACAAAATATCCTACGTGCCTCTGACTAGCGGTGAAAAACCCTTGACAGAAGAGGTTGGGCACGTGCGCATCTGTTGAAATCACCGACGTTCATCGCCAGCAGCGCACGAGCGCTGTGCCGGGCCTACCAGGAAACAAACAAAGCAAATAGATAAAAGTAAAAAAAAGAACGTCAGTTCTACACCTACTTTGCATTCCGCCCGACACCTCGACGTCACCGTGCCCTATAACTCGCCAGCACGAGCGTCATCTACCGCAGTGCGCGCGCAATACCTTGCTGCGTGCGGATTGTGCAAGTCCAATTGAAATCGAACTTGTTGTCGCGGTTGTTATCGTTGTTTAACGCTGCCTACACTGCACACATTTTTATTTGTCGCCCGCTTTCGAGACGGCTATGCTTGGTTACAGCTTATAAGAAGAAAAAAAAACATTTCATGCGGTTTGACCATAACGGTTAAATGGGTTCACGACATTTAAATATTTTCGGCTTGTTCGTCTTAGCAGAAGCACGGTCGTACAGAAGAACCCTTATAGAAATAGTGCTGTAGTGCTTGGGAATGCGTTGGATTTATTTTTAATACCTTTACGTTGCGTATATCGTTTTAGACATTGTTAGTTCATTTTGCGCTGATTTTGAGCATTGGTACGCCTTAATTCGAGGTCCGCAATTGACCGCAGTGCGAGCTTGCGACATGACACATTTGACTGGCGACAATACAATTATAATTGATCGAGTTCAACGTCCCGAAATCTCGATATGGTTATGAGAATATGTTATCTTTTCTAGCTTTGAAACATATTTTTCTAGGCTACCTGTCTCCCGGCCAGTCCCCCAGGGCAGGCGCAA